AATCTCTATGAGTTCGAGGCCAGCCTGGTCTACAGAGCAAGTTCCAGGACAGCCTCCAAAACAATACAGAGGAACCCTGTCTTGAAAAACAAAACAAACAAACAAACAAAAAAGATTGTCATTCTTACTATGTTGATCCTGCTTATCCAAGACCATAGGAAATCTTTCCATTTTCTGGTATCTTCTTTAATTTCTTTCTTTAATGACTCAAAGTTCTTGTCATACAGGTCTTTCACCTGTTTGGTTAGAGTTACCCCAAGACATTTTATGTTGTTTGTGGCTATTATAAAGGGTGATGTTTCTCAGATTTCTTTCTCAGCCCCTTTATTGTCTATATATAGTAGGGCTACTGATTTTTTTTAGTTAATCTTGTGTCCTGTCTCTTTGCCGAAGGTGTTTATCATTTATCAGCTGTAGGAATTCCTGGTAGGATTCTTCGGGTCAATTATTTAAATTATCATATCATCTGCAAATAGTGAAAGTTTTACTTCTTCCTTTCCAATTTGTTACTCCTTGATCTCCTTTTGTTGCCTTATTGCTCTAACAGGAACTTTAAGTACAATATTTAAGAGATAAGGATAAAGTGGGCAAACTTGTCTTGTTCCTGATTTTAGAGGAATTGCATTGAGTTTCTCTCCATGTAGTTTGATGTTGACTGTCAGTTTGCTGTATATTGCCTTTATTATGTTTAGTATGTTCTTGTTATCCCTGATCTTTCCAAGACCTTTATCATGAAGGGGTGTTGAATTTTGTCGAAGGCTTTTTCAGCATCTAGTGAGATGATCATGTGGTTTTTCTTTTTCAGTTTATGTGGTAAATTAAATTGATAGATTTTTGTATGTTAAACCATCCCTGCATTCCTGGGATGAAGCCTACTTGATCATGGTGTATGATTTTTCTGATGTGTTCTTGGATTTGATTTGCCAGTATTTATTGAGTAATTTTTATCGATGTTCATGAGGAAGATTGGTCTGTAGTTCTCTATCTTAGTTGTGTCTGTGTGGTTTGGGTACCAAGGTAAATGTAGCCTCATTAAGAGTTTGGCAGTGATCCTTCTGCTTCTATTGTGTGGAACACTTTGAGGAGTATTGGTATTAGCTCTTCTTTGAATTTCTGTTAAAATTCTTCACTGAAACCTGGGCTTCTTTTTTTGGGAGATTTTGATGACTGCTTCTATTTCATTAGAGGTTATAAGTCTATTTAAATTGCTTATCTGTTCTTGATTTAATTTTGGTGAATGATATCTATCCAGAAAATTGTCCATTTCCTTTAAATTTTCCAATTTTGTGGAGTACAGATTTTCAAAGTATGACCTGATGATTCTCTGGATTTCCCCAGTGTCTATTGTGTCCCCCCTTTCATTTTTGATTTTGCTAATTTGCATGTTCTCTCTCTGCCTTTTGGTTAGGTTGGATAAAGGTTTGTTTATCTTGTTGATTTTCTCAAAGAAGCAACTCTTTGTTTCATTGATTTGTATTTTTTCTTTGTTTCTACTTTGTTAATTTCAGCTCTCAATTTGATTATTTCCTGGCATCTACTCCTCCTGGGTGAGTTTGTTTCTTTTTGTTCTAGAGCTTTCAGGTGTTCTGTTAATTCTCTAGTGCGGCCATTCTCCAGTTTCTTCATGTGGGCACTTAGTGCTATGAACTTTCCTCTTAGTACTACTTTCAGAGTGCCCCACAGGATTGGGTATGTTGTGCCTTCATTTTCATTGAATTCGAGGAAGTCTTTGATTTCTTTCTTTATTTCTTCCTTTACCCAGGAGTGATGCAGTTGAGCATTGTTCAATATCTATGAGTTTGTAGGGTTTCTGCAATTTGTGTTGTTGTTGAATTCTAATTTTAAGCCATGGTGTCTGATACGATACAGGGGGTCATTCCAATTTTTTTATGAGACTGACACGCTACCTACTGCACTAATGAGGCTCTTTTCCAGTATTTTTATATCTGTTGAGGTTTGCTTTATTTCTGAGTATGTGTTTGATTTTAGAGAAGGTTCCATGTGGCACTGAGAAGAAGGTATATTCTTTTGTGTTTGGGTGGAATGTTCTATAGATGTCTGTTAAACCCAATTGAGTCATAACTTCTGTTAGTTCCTCTGTTTCTTTGTTAAGTTTCTGTCTGGTAGTCCTGTTCAGTGGTGAGAGTGACGAAGTCTCCCACTCTAAGTGTGTGGTTTTATGTGTGATTTGAGTTTTAGTAATGTTTCTTTTACAAATGTGGGTACCTTTGTATTTGGTGCATAGATGTTCAGAATTGAGACTTCATCTTGAAGGTTTTTTTGAAATGACCTTCTTCATCTCTTTTGATTAATTTTAGCTTGAAGTCTAATTTGTTAGATATTAGGATAGCTACACCAGCTTGTTTCTTAGGGTCATTTGATTGGAAAATCTTTTCCCATCTGAGGTAACGTCTGTTTTGAAGGTGAGGTATGTTTCTTGTATGCAGCAAAAGGATGGATTCTGTCTTCATATCCATTCTGTTAGCCTGTGTCTTTTTATAGGTGAGTTAAGGCCATTAATATTAGGGATATTAATGACCACTGATTGTTGGTTTTTGCTTGTTTTAGATTTGTTTTTGGTGGTGGTATTGTGTGTGTGATTTTACCCTATTTCTGGCTTTTGGTAAAGTGAGATTATCTATTGCCCATGTTTTTGTGAGTGTATTAACTTCCTTGGGTTGGAGTTTTCTTTCCAGAACTTTCTGTGGGACTGGATTTGTGGATATGTATTGTGTAAATTGGTTTTATTATGGAATATCTTATTTTTTCCATATATAGTGATTGAGAGTTTTCCTGGGTATAGCAGTCTGTACTGGCATCTGTGGTCTCTTAGTGTTTGCAGAACATCTGTCTAGGACCTTCTGGCTTTCAGAGTTTTCATGGAGAAGTCAGGTGTAATTCTAATAAGTTTGTCTTTATATGTTACTTGGCCTTTTTCCCTTGCTGCTCTTAATATTCTTTCTTTATTCTATATGCTTGGTGTTTTGATTAATATGTGGTGAGGGGACATTTTACTTTTTTGGTCCAGTCTATTTGGTGTTCGGTAAACTTTGTACTTTCATTGGCGTGTCTTTCTTGAGGTAGGGAAACTTTTCTTCTATGATTTTGTTGAATATGTTTTCTGTGCCTTTGAGCTGGGCTTCTTTGCCTTCTGTTATTCTTAGGTTTGGTCTTTTCACAGTGTCCCATATTTCCTGGATATTTTGTGCTAAGGATTTGTTGGATTTAAGCTTTTCTTTGGTCAATGAATCTATTTACTCTAGTTTATCTTCAGCACCTGAGATTCTCTCTTCCATCTCTTGTATTCTATTGGTTATGCTTGCAACTGTAGTTCCTGATCATTTACCCAACTTTTCTATTTCCAGCATTCCCTCAGTTTGTGTTTTTTTATTGTCTCTATTTCAGTTTTCAGGTCTTGAACTGCTTGAATTGTTTCCTTCATCTGTTTGATTGTTTTTTCTTGGCTTTCCATGCTTTCTTTAAGAGATTTGTAGGTTTCTTTCATTTTTGGTTTATTTTTTCTTCCATTTCTTTAAGCGATTTTCTCATATCCTTTTTGAGGGCCTCTATCATTTTAATGAAGTTTTCTTAAGGTCATTCTCTTCTGCTTATTCTGTATTGGGATGTTCAGGTCTTGCTGGCATAGAATTCCTGGACTCTGGTGGTATCATATAAGTCTTTCCGTTGTTGGATGTGTTCTTACACTGTCATCTTCTGATCTCTTCTTCCAGTGGATATAGGTGGGATCTCTCCCTCTCCTCTATACTGGAGGGTGGAGAGGCAAGACAAGAATGGCAGTTGATGATGCTGGCTGCTTTGTTCCACCTCCAGGTCCCTCTGTGAAATTTGGTGGCAGGAAGGGTCTGGTGGCAGGTCAGGGGACTCAAAAGAGGGAAAGGTGGAATGGAAGAGCCCCTGGCACTCACCTCTCTACTGGAGGGTGGAGGGGTAAAACAGGAATGGTGGTGGCCGATCCCCCAGAATGGTCTTAACCCCTTTGCTCATCACTCCCTCCTCTCTACAACTGGATTCCAGGAGTTCAGCTCAGTGTTTAGCTGTGGGTCTCTGCTTCTGCTTCTATCAGTTACTGGGTGAAGTCTCTAGGATGGTATTTAAGGTAGTCATCAATCTCATTATAGAGGAGGGCATTTAATAAGTTGGCATGGCATTTACAGCTCTACTTTATTTGGCAATTGGTACCTTTACAACATGCCTTATTGCTGTCAGTTATTGCCACCTCCTCCTTCCTCTTCTTCTCTTTGGCATTAAACGCAGGCCTTGCACTCTGCCACTGAGAGATATCCCTAAGCTTTGGCTGTTGTTTTAGTTTGGTTTTTGTTTTTAGACTGAAACTCTGTAAGCTAGACTGGCTTGTCATTTCTCTTAATGTTCTCCAGAAGAGTCAGAGTTTTAATCAGAGAATTTGCTCATTCTGATGTACATTTATTCTGAGACATTGTCCATCTCCATTGCGATCATAAGTGGGAACTTGCTTAGTTTGTATTGGAGATTCACGACAAACCCACTGGGCTTGGTATCCTGTTCTCTTTTACGTTGTGACTAGTATTGAGTCCTCTTATTCTAATCAAATGTTAGTTGATTGTCTTGAACTTTGTGGTTCATTGTTTCCGATACTAACAATAATAGTTGTGTTCCTTTCTCCTCAGTACCTTGTCTAGTTTCCTTATCACATTTCAGGACCTCACCAAGAGACAAATGCTTTGTAGCTGTGGTAAGAGGCATTGCTAATGCTCTTCTGGTTGATATTATGATAAAGTCAAAGATACTTCTTTCTTTGACTTTTAAGAGCTTTTATTGGGACTTGTTGAATGTTATGTAAAAAAGTCAATACACAGTATTAGGTGCCAGCTACCTGGGAGACCCTAAGGAGTTACAGAAGAGACGAAAAGCAGGTAGATGTCAACTAAGTAAAAGGATTGCATATAGATAGGAGACAGAAGCCACTGTGATAATCATGATCATGTTTTCTCCCAAAACAGGTTTATTCTCACAGAGCAGCGAGAGAGGGAGATGAAGAAAAGTCCGCAGGGTAAATACAAGATTAGCAAACCTTCAAGGAGAACCTGAGAGCTAGCAGAGAGCTTGGGCCTCATTGGGGAAACTCAGGAAGATTTTATTTCCCCTAATGTCTTGCCTGGCAACCCAAGGAGGCAGGTGTACCCAGGCCTAGCAAGGGGGCCTCCAAGTGTGCCCATTTTGTTAAGGAGAGAAGGTTAGGCTGTGCCTGTTCTGCTGTTGGTAGCATCAGGACCTCACTATGTAGCCGAGGCTGGCCCCAAACTCTTGTTTCAGCCTCCCAAGTACAGGAATCATAGCTATGATCCATCATGCCCAGCCAGTTGAGCCCTTTAAACGTCTCACAACTCACTCATCAGAGGCAGTCTGCAGGGTGAAATCCGTGAGTCTGTGAGCTGTGCTGTGGACTTGGGCATTGCACTTGGAGGAGGAAGCAGCTAGGCAAGCAGGAAGCAGCCCCTCCTCACCTCAGCAAGCCTGCATGTGAGAGCTGTTCTGAAGGAGAGCAAAATGCTCCTGCCCAGGGTGGCTTCTTCAAAGGGATAAGTTTGTTCACTGGAATAAGTGGGGTTTTTGCCATGCTGACACTTTGCTATTCTCTAGCACAAGGCACATACAAAGATCTCCCCAGAGGCATTGTGGGGCCCTTAGAACAGACTTGGAAAGGTTCCCAGAAGCCAAACATGCATGGAATTGTTCTCAAGTCCCAGTGCTGGCGTGATTTTTGTTATGGGGAGAGCCAGGATGTCCCCCAGAGAGACACAATCACTAACTGTCTTCTGCATGTGTTTTCCTCCAAGGGGTAAGAAATGCTACAAGGACAGTGAGAGTCAGGTAAGCCTGAGACTCAGTGCTGCGGCTGGAGTAGGCAGGGGTTAGCAGAACTAATGTCTCCCTTTCTGTTTCCTAGGAAGGGTTTTTCTGGCTAAGGTGGCCATTATGGCTTAGGGATATGTACAGGCCTCTTCACGATACACGCAAGAAAAACATGGCTCAGGATCTACAGGACAAGGAGTCCTCTGGCGAGGAGGAGATCTTCAATAAGGAAATATCAGGGTAAACGTCTGGCTCAAATGAGGAGTTAAGGGCAACTTGCTTGTTTCTAAGTTTGAAAGCCTTGGCATTGCTCTTCTTCCAGGGAGGTCAAGGAAGAAGTGGTCGTGGTGCTGCCAGCTCTGAAAGCGTCGACCACTGATGCAGAAGAGAGTGAAGCAGCCGATGACGCTGAAGGCACAGAATGATCTGCTATCGTTTATTAATAAATTATTTTTTTTAGATTCGTGAGTGTCAAAGGCCTTTGTACTCCAATAAAGGAAAACTGATGCACAGTAGTTGAGAGTGTGGGCCAATAAGATGGCTCATTACATGAAAGCAGTTGCCAGGCAAGCCTTGTGACCCAAGTCTGATCCAGAATCCCAGTAAAAAGGATGCTACATGGGGTAGCAAGCATCTGTAATCAAAGCACCCCTGTGGCAGCTTAGAGGGTGAAGACAGATAATAACTTAGGAGCCCATGAGCCAGCCAGCCTGGAGTGCACAGCAAAAAAACAGATAAGAGAGACCCTGCCCCAAATGGTGGTAGGTCAAAACCAACTCCCAAATACTGTCCTCTGACTTTCTCATGGTTGCCATGGCATGCATGAACCTAGACTGTCTCTCTCTTCTCTGTCTTACACACAAAAATACACACACACACACACACACACACACACACACACACGCACACCCCAGACATACTAGATAGAGGCTGAGAGATGGCTTAGTGGGTAAAGTGCTTGCCATATAATCCTGTGCGTGCGTGCACGTGTGCATGTGCACGCACGCACGAACACACACATTTATTTTAAAATTGAGGATGTGCCTACTGATCACAGAAACACTGCCTTTCTAGTGATATGAAGAATGGTGCCAGTCCTGGATGGTCAGCAGCCTTGGTACCCAGAGGAGCCCTGTACCTGGGGACCCACTGGTCCGTGTGGCTGGTTATGTTCCAAGCAGAGTGAGTGGCCCTCTAGTCTTAGCTGCACCCACCCCTGCCCCTTAGGGACAGTGTCTCAGTGACAAACCCTGGGCTGGGTCTTTTACATCTTTTGCTAGTTAACAATCTACCATTGCAGCATTGTTTCACTGTCTCCTGCCAGGTGTGGTTGGGCAGACCTGTAATCTCAGTACTTGGGAGGTCCAGGCAGGATGATTCCTGCAAATTCAAGGTCAGTCTGGGCTACACAATGAGGTTCAGGCCTCTTTGCACTACATAGTGACACCCTGGGGGAGCAGGGGACCACAGGACTTGGAACGTAGGCAGAATGCAGCCTGCTTAAGTACCCTAGACCACACATCATAAGCTATTAGACCTTTGCAGATCAAAGCCTCTTAACCACTACCTTGCACTGCTGTGGGAAACAGGGACATGGAGACACACAACAAGCCTTGCTGTGGACAAAAGTCATCATCCACATGGAAGGTAATGACCACTCTTTCTGAGGACCAACTATGGGCCAGGCATGGTGCTGGGCACTTTAGTTACAATGTTATCACTGGGACAGAAACCTCAAATGCTACACTTGAGAGGCAGGGCTTTTGACCTAGATAATAGTGTTAGAGACAAAGAGGAACTAAAGAAGGCAGGGGTAGGGCATCCTCTATTGCTGGGCCTCCCAAAGCCTGGGCCAAACCTTTCCACACAGTCATCCAACATTACATTGTTCATTTCTCAAAACATGTTTTGATAAATGTTATTCTCCACCCCAGAACTGGCAAAGCAGGCACTTTCCATATTCTTTTATTTATTATTATTTTATTTCTTTTGGTTTTAAGAGACAGGGTCTCACTATATCTCTTACTATCCTGGAACTCACTCTGTAGACCAGGGTGGCCTTAAGCTCACAGAGATCCACCTGCCTCCTCTTTCTAAGTACTGGGACTAAAGGCGTGTGTAACTGTGCCCGGCTTCCATATCGCTTATCTGCATTTCTGAAGTGTCCGCGTTCCTTTTATCATCCCTCCCTCCTCCTCTTGTCCTCACCATTGTCAGAGATTCACCTGGGTTCTCCTGGGAAGGAAATGTAGCTGGACCTGACCCTCATGGCCATCAGAAGCATCTTAAGACCTGCAAGTGAGGTGGGAAGAATGAGATACAGTGAGGAAGAGCATCCCTCGGAACCCTGACCTTCCGTGTGTTTAAGAACTTAATGGCTATGGAGAAACTGCTATTGCTCTGGATAAAGAGTGTTACTAGGATTTTTAGGGCCCAAGCCTATGTCTTAGCAACTCAAAACAAGCTAGGATCAAAAGGCTGATTGAGAGAGGAATCAGTTATGAAAAGTAGAGAAAGATTTATTCAATAAGGCTGCATAGGGAAGCTGACACTAGGCCCAGGGACGACCTCTAAGTCCACTTTCTTGTCTAAATAGAGGGTAGGAAGTATGCATTACAAAGCAGCCTTGATCACAGTTTGGCTCCACTCACCGTCTTATCTCTGTTGCAGTCTCTCTAGCTGACACCAGCCATCAGTTCTTTCCTTTTCCCATCGCTAGATTCTGGGGAAATTTCAATTTCTTGTAAATCACTATTTCAATAATGTCCTACTTAGTGTTACTACTGCTGGGATAAAACATGACCAAAAGTGGGGCTGGAGAGATGGCTCAGTGGTTACGAGTTTTGGCTGCTCTTCCAGAGGTCCTGAGTTCAATTCCCAGCAACCACATGTTGGCTCACAACCATCAATAAAGAGATCTGGCTTTCAGGCAGACATGCAGGCAGAACACTATATACATAATAAATATTTTTAAAAATATGACCAAAAGTAAGTTAGGGAAAAGGGATTTGATTTGGCTTATGCTCCACATCAGTGTTCATCATAGAAGGAAATTGGGACAAGAACTCAAGCAGGGGTGAAAGACAGTGAGAAGGATGGCCTCCAAAGATGTAGGGCTGGAGTTGGACCAGCTGTGTTCAGCAGAGCCGTGACCCAGCTTGAGGCAGCCCTCAGTCCTCCTGCTCCTGAGCCTGGAAGCTCAAAAGACTGTTGAAACAGTTCACTCAGGGGTTACAAAAGAAGTCAGGCAAAGACAATTCCAGCCAAGAAATGCCTCAGTTCTGACCAAATGAAGGTGCTGAGAAGATGACTTGATCCATCCTTCTTTTTTTTTTTTTTTTGGTTTTACGAGACAGGGTTTCTCTGTATTGTTTTGGAGGCTGTCGGTCCAGCCCAGTCTCGAACTCACAGAGATCCGCCTGCCTCTGCCTCCCGAGTGCTGGGATTAAAGGCGTGTGCCACCACCGCCCGGCTCTTGATCCATCCTTCTGTGTTTATCGAGAACTGATCCTAAACTCTCAAAAAGGCTCCTCAGCTAAAAACCTACTCTTGCAGGATATTTGATCCCACTGTGAACCCTGAGATTGCATTATTTACTGGAAAGCCCTCAGCTGTTGTGGCTCAATCCTAGCACACACCTTTAATCCAAGAGCTCTCTGCTTGAATATTGTAAACAGGATTAAATAAAATCAACCACAGGTCAAGAGGCAGAGCAAGCAACCAATTGGCAGGAAAAAGCCACAGAGAGTGAGAGAAGTCAGAGGATGGAGAGAGAGGGAGGGGGGACAGAGAGAAAGAGGGATGGAGAGGAGGGGCACAGGAAATAGAAGGGAGGGACATCCAGTTAGAGGGGTTTTGTTTGAGACAGCATAGGAGAAAGCTCTCTAGCTGAGATGTCAGATGAAGAGGAAGGTCAGCTGAGTACTTTCTCTGCCTCTCTGAGCTTACAGGTTTTCACCTCAGCATCTGGCTGGATAGAGATTAGATATAGATTGGAGACAGAAGCCACTGTGATAATCATTGTAAGGATTCAGACATTATGCTGACCCCCCCCACACACACACAACTAGTATTATATACACACCAGCATTCAGGCAGATACTTAAGACAGCTCAAAGGGCCTGTGTTGAATGGCTAAGTCACAACTTACGAGGCTGCATGAGGACTCTGTAGGCATGTGCAAGCTTTCCCTTTTAAGGGAACACCTCCCACCTGTTAGCCCCTTCTTCCCCCTTCTTCTTCCCCTTCCCTGTTTCTCTCCCCCTTCCCCTTCCATCTCTGTTCCCAGTTGGACAACACCTCTCCCTCCCTTTGCTCCCTTTCCCCAATAAACTCCACGTGGGTTTTGTTGAGTTTTGTGGTTTGTGTTTCATCGCCCACAGCTGCAGCAAAACAGCAATCATGATCGTGCTTTCTTCCAAAACAGGTTTAAGATTATTCTTATGGAGCAGTGAGAGAGGGAGATGAAGAAAAGTCCGCAGGGTAAATACAAGATTAGCAAACCTTCAAGGAGAACCTGAGAGCTAGCAGAGAGCTTGGGCCTCATTGGGGAAACTCAGGAAGATTTTATTTCCCCTAATATCTTGCCTGGCTCCCCAAGGAGGCAGGTGTACCCAGGCCTAGCAAGGGGGCCTCCAAGTGTGCCCATTTTGTTAAGGAGAGAAGGTTAGGCTGTGCCTGTTCTGCTGTTGGTAGCATCAGGACCTCACTATGTAGCCGAGGCTGGCCCCAAACTCTTGTTTCAGCCTCCCAAGTACAGGAATCATAGCTATGATCCATCATGCCCAGCCAGTTGAGCCCTTTAAACATCTCACAACTCATCAGAGGCAGTCTGCAGGGTGAAATCCGTGAGTCTGTGAGCTGTGCTGTGGACTTGGGCATTGCACTTGGAGGAGGAAGCAGCTAGGCAAGCAGGAAGCAGCCCCTCCTCACCTCAGCAAGCCTGCATGTGAGAGCTGTTCTGAAGGAGAGCAAAATGCTCCTGCCCAGGGTGGTTTCTTCAAAGGGATAAGTTTGTTCACTGGAATAAGTGGGGTTTTTGCCATGCTGACACTTTGCTATTCTCTAGCACAAGGCACATACAAAGATCTCCCCAGAGGCATTGTGGGGCCCTTAGAACAGACTTGGAAAGGTTCCCAGAAGCCAAACATGCATGGAATTGTTCTCAAGTCCCAGTGCTGGCATGATTTTTGTTATGGGGAGAGCCAGGATGTCCCCCAGAGAGACACAATCACTAACTGTCTTCTGCATGTGTTTTCCTCCAAGGGGTAAGAAATGCTACAAGGACAGTGAGAGTCAGGTAAGCCTGAGACTCAGTGCTAGCTGTTCTGGAGTTCTGAATTTGTAGATCAGGCCGATCTTGAACTCAGAGATCTGCCTGCCTCTGCCTCTGGAGTGCTGGGAGTGTGCACCATTACCACTTAACTAGATTATGGAATTTTACATCCAAGATATATAGTAA